AAGTGACTATAATAAAAAAAAAGAAAAAAGAAGAAATCTTCTTCTCCGATCGCAAAACGTGCTTCACTTACTTTATTAGCCAGTGCCGTTAGAGCACTTGAGTAGAAATATAAACTGTTACATATTCTTATCGCAAAACAATACCTGGGTCAGAGCAGTACGGCAATACGTGACACAATTCCAACGTCTTCTCGGCGCTAACACGCTTTCAATATGTTCTGCAGGCCACGTCAACCAGCACTCTGGTCTCGTATTCAAACGCGACAGAACTCCACACCTGACATACGGCGGCAGCAAGCATAGTAATTAATCAGATTTCTTCACACCAGCTCAAAACCTAAGAGGAAGAGGTGACAATTGGCTTCTTCCTCTTTTATTTCTATCTCTATCTATCTCTATCTTACGCACATGAAATCGGTCAAACAGGAGCTGGTTTACGTTTGACAGAAAAGTGGTTCATTTTCGCCCCCTCTTCTCTTAGCTCAAAACCTATCTGGCGTCGTTGACCGGTCGGATGACAACGCAGCAAGACAGCAGCGCAAGTAAATCCTCCTGACATTCAAATTTGGCTTCCCCTCTCGTCGGTGACAGCCGCCAGCCAGAATCCAAAAAATCCTAATGTTCGTGCCGTATTTCTTTTTAAATAATATTCCATAGTTTCCTTCGCTTATCTTGTGATTACATGTAAAATAATTCTTCAAATTTATTATACAATATTGTGTTATTCATCATTGATTGCCCTTCCAATCGGAGATGGCGTCGAGTGAACAAAGTCGCGAGTGTTTCGAGTTTTCGTGTGTGAAATATCCGTAAAATCGGTCAATTTTCACGGTGAAAGGACTGAGATTCGAAAGATTACGCGGCGGGAGTGCGTTTGAGCTAGGAGATTAATGCAGACCGGTGTTGATTAGAACGAAAAAAAGGAATTTATTCGAGCTCCAAAAGTTGTGCATAACCTAAAAATAGCAAGAACAGAAAAAGAACTGATTCGAAGAAAAACGACGGCGTTGAATCGGGTTTATCCGCTTGTCGTAAAGCGTGTGGAGGCAAATAGTGCGTTTTTCGTCGCCGGGAATTAGAATACGGATCGGTCTATTCGTCGGACCCGCCACGCCGCTCGCGGGAAGGAAGTGAAGAATACACGTTGAAGAAGAAAAATTAGGTGTTGAACAAGCGAGTGGGCATACGCACATAGGGGCAGAATGAACCCCAAAGTGAATGCAACTACCAGCAACGTCATGCTAACGAGATCACAGTCCATGAGGACTGGCATAGGCACAACAGTACCACCAGGAACCTCCAGATTTGTACCAACGAAAAAACCAGCTGAGACAAATGTACGCAGCAAGGGAGCAGGAACCTCTGGTGTTGCTCAGCATACGAAGAAAACACAAGGATCGAACTCAAGTAACAACGGAACAAACGTTAATCAGGTCCATGACAGCAGCTCTGCTGAGGAAACAGCATCAGGAGCAGCACGTTCAGAAACGGTGTACTTGGAACCAATCGAATACGAAAAGCCAATACCAAAACATCCAGCCGAGCTAGGGAAAATTCTGCACGAGGCAGGCTTTCAAGGATGGAAGGAAATAACAAAGATCGGCAACTTCCGTTACAAGCTAAACCTAACCGCTGCACAAGGCTCGGCGGATTTGGCAAAAGAGGATTTTGCTAGAGCTAATCTGAGAGTATTCACGCCCAAGGCGCAAACACAGACGATATGTTTTGTACCGGGAGTGCCTCTGAGCTTTGATGCCGACGACCTGAAGCAGACGGAGGCAGCAGTACCAATCATCAAGGTGGAAAGAATCCGGCGGATGGGTCGAAACAGACAACTGTACGAGACGGAAAACCTGAAGGTGACAGTAGAAGGAACGCAGGTGCCGAGTCCGATCAAAATCTACGGGGTTAGCTTCAGAGCAGAACCATTCAAGTTCCCAGTGAAACAGTGCTGGAACTGCTGGTGGTTTGGGCATGTAAAGGCCAAATGTCGGAATCAAACCAAATGCCAAAGATGCGGCCAAGAACACGGTTCATCGGACGAAGAGTGCGGGCGGGACCCATGCTGCGTGAATTGTGGGGAGAGACACGAAGCGAAAAGCAAAATTTGTGCGGAAAGAACCAGAAGGACCAAAATCATCGACAAAATGCGGATCGACCGAGTACCATACGCGGAGGCGGAAAACGCTTATCCCAAGACCCAAAACCGGTTTGAGTTGCTGGAGGACGATAATGATTTCCCGGAAATAGAAGCCCACAATTCCAATAACAACGAACGCGAAAACACTGGAAATCATTCCGGTGCCGGAAACAGAGGATGGAGACAGGATCAAGGCAACGAGCGCAGGGCCAACGTAGGAGGGCAGCACAGTGGCCGTACGAAGTCATCCGAAGGTAGAAAGGAGCGGCAGCAGACCCACAAAGCAACGGATTTTGAAGCTTTTATTTCGGAGATGAGACAGGAGTTCATCCGCTTCTGCAGTGCCAGAGAATGGATCAAGCCCCTGCGCGAGCTGCGTGACAAACTAAGGAACAAACTACAAAAAGAACGAACAGAGGTGGAAACAGATCAAATCCTAATCGAGGTCAGCATGGACATAGAAGCGATACTGAACACAGAGATGAACAAAGAAACACAGCAAAACAGACGAACAACAACCGGTAATCATGGAATATAAAACCTTAACTCTATTGCAACACAACATACAAAGCATCAGGCCGACCGAAAAGCGCGAAGAGTTGTTCACATGCTTGACCTCGAACAACATAAGGATTGCCATACTACAAGAAATTTGGCTCAAAGAGGAGGAAACGTTCACTTTCAAGAATCATCAACTGGTATCTAAACGGAGGAAAGAAGGCTACGGAGGAGTAGGCGTACTAATACATAACGACTTGGACGTCCAGGAACTGGAATTGCCGGAATTCAGGAAGGTGGAAGCTGTAGGAGTCAAAATCAATCGAGGATTCGACCCGATAAATGTGTTTTCGGTGTACATCCCACCCGCAAGCGGAAGCAGCATTGAAACTACTGAAGACATAGCAGCACTGTTTGAGTTTCTAAAAGAACTGGAGGGAGAAACGATAGTTGGAGCGGACGTAAACGCACATCACCCAGCGTGGAGCCCAGATTTTCCGATGTGCAGCAGAGGAAGACTCATAAACGGAAAAATCGAAGAGTCTAACCTTATTCTCCTCAACGACGGTACACCAACGGTCATAACCGGAGTTGGAGGCAGACAATCGGCGATTGACATCACCTTGGCATCTCCGGGAGTAGCAAGAAAATCGACGTGGGAGGTAATGGAGGAAGAATTTGGGAGCGTCCACATGACCATCAGAGTAGGAATTACCAGCGAAATTCCAATCGTAAACGGCACGATTCGGAGGGTCAACAAGGAGCAACTGGTAGAATCCCTCAACAGCATCCGTCCACAATTCCTGTATTCGCCCGAGGAAATGGTGGAAATCTTCGAGGAGGCAGTAGAAAAATCGTCCTTTTGCGTCAAAAACAAAAAGGGCAACTATCTGAAACCGTGGTGGTCGGACGAAATCGCGAGCTTGTACGAGAGCAAACGAGATGCGCTGCGGAGATACAACGTGTCGAAAACAAGGTCCAACTACATTGCCCTTCAAAAGGAGAGAGCCCTATTCAAGAGGCATGTCAGGAGGGCCAAGCGACAACATGTGAGAGAGCTTATGGAAAAAATTGACGAATCGACGCCTTCTCGACAGCTCTGGAACATGATAAAGGGCATCGACACTTCACTGACAGGGAAGCACAGGAAAAAAACGGAGCTATCCAAGGAGGACGGAACGAAGTTTATGGAGTTCTATTTCGATGGGAAATTCCACACACTGCTGATGCCTGAAACAAGGACGGAAGGCATACTCGAAGGATACGAGAGGGCACTCCAGGACAGCGAGATCTTACAGGTCCTGAAAGGGAAAAAGAACCATTCAGCCCCAGGCTTGAATGGTATATCGTATGCAGTACTAAAGCAGCTAAACCCAGATATGCAGGAAAAAATATGCGAGATGTTAAGCAAAGTTTTCGTGTCGGAGAAAATTCCAGAAAAATGGAGACTGACGGAAATTCGCCCGATCCCTAAGAAAACGGGAAACACCAACCAACCCAACTGCATGCGACCAATTGCACTCATCAACGTGGAACTCAAGCTGATCAACGCAGCGGTCAAAAATCGCCTGGCGGAAATAGTAGAAATTAAAAACCTTATTCCACCCCTATCTTTCGGTTTCCGGAAACATGTGTCAGCATCCACCTGCGTAGCGTACGTAGTCAACAGGATCTATGAAGCAAAGGAGCAGAAAAAGGAAGTGTTAGTCACCTTCCTGGACGTGAGCAAGGCGTATGACACAGTGGTTTCCAAAACGCTGCTTAACACGTTGGGGAAATTGGGAATCCCTAGCAAGATCGTCTCGTGGCTGCACGAGTACCTACGAAGCCGGATCATGATCCTGAAGACCGACGAACAGCAAGTAGAAGTAGAGGTGTCAGAGGGACTACCACAAGGGTGCCCCCTCTCCCCGATACTTTTCAATCTGTACACGGCAGAACTGCACGAACTGTCGACGGAGAAAGGAGAACTAGTTCAGTTCGCTGACGACTTTGCCCTGGTCGTGACAGCCGACACGCTTGAGGAGGCAGTTGAGATCACCTCCGGTCTCGTACAGCAGATGTACACAAGGCTCGACCAATTAAACCTGAAGGTTTGCACCCAGAAGTCAGCAGCGATCCCGTTCACAAGGAAGAACACGGACAAGCTCAGGATATCGGTCAAAGGTGAGCAAATCGAGTTAGTCAACACGCACCAATACCTTGGATACACCCTGGACAGAGAACTCCGGCACAGGAAGCACATCGAAAACATCAGAGACAAAGCAGGCAAGAAACTAGGATTGATGAAGATACTCTCCAAGAAAACAAGTGGTGCAAACCCGGAGACGTTGATAAAAATTGGGAACGCCATAATAAGAAGCCGCATGGAGTACGGAGCAGCGGTGTTTGGCAACGCTGCAAAAACCAATTTGGACAAGCTGCAAGTCGTTCAGAACGCGTACATAAGGCAAGCGATGCGGTACCTACCGAGCACTCCGGTGCACGTCATGCTAGCGGAGTCAGGACAATTACCGATGATGTTGAGAATAGAAGCGCTAACGAAGAGGGAACTAGTAAGAACGACATACTTCAGAACCCCTATCATGAAGTTTGTCAGCGACGCGCTGTGCAAAGAAATGGGCAACGGTTCGTACCTAACGGAAACGGCGGACAAGCACGTGGACTTGCTGTATCAAGTACACCCCTCAGATAAGGAACTCCCAAGGAAGAAGAGAATGCGGTACTTCAGAAGTTCAGACCTTTTCATGACTGTACGCCTTAACCTAGGAGGAAAGAACGTCAAGAAGGACAACGTCAGCGAGGAATCATGGAGAAGAATATACAGGGAAGAAGAAAACACAACGTACAAAAATTATGAGAGGATTTTCACGGACGGATCAAAATCGGAAGCTGGAGTAGCATTCGCGGTATATGACGACAACAGGAAACGTAAAGCAGCCGAAAGCATTAACAGCAACTTTACCATCACCAACGCGGAACTTCTAGCGATTCTCCAGGCGGTGGAAACAGCAAAGAAGGAAAACTACAAAAAAGCGGTGATTTTCACGGACTCGAGGAGCGCGTGCGAGATGCTCCTAAACGAGGACATCATCGCAAACAACTATATCGCTTGGGAAATCTACAAGGAGCTACAAGATACGAGAGAAAACACCATCAAAATCCAATGGATTCCAAGCCACGTTGGGATTAGAGGAAACGAAGTAGCAGATCAAGCAGCGAAGCAAAAAAGCAGGGAGAAACAGACATTCTTCAACGGACTCACCATGGCAGATGCGCTGAGACTCAGCAACCTGGATATTTGGGCAGACTGGAGCAGACGTTACAAGGAACAATCAAAAACCAAAGGATGTTGGCACTTCAACCTAATGGAAACACCAGGTAGGAAAATCTGGTCACACGAGCTGCAACTGAATCCGGACGAAGTAAAAACCTTGAACAGAATAAGAAGTGGTCATGCACTCACCAAATCCAAAAGAGCCACGTGGGGATGGGAGATAGACGACCAGTGTGATTGGTGCGAAGTAAAAGAAGACATCAAACACATCCTATATGACTGCCCAAAGTTCAATATTGAACGAAACAAGTACCCGATACTAGAATACATGAAGCCAATCGAACAAGTTCTAATCGAGCTTTGTGAAGAAGAACTCAAACAGATCACAAGATTCATCAAGGATACCAAAAGCCAAATTTAAATCAGGACAACACCATCAGCTAAAACCATGAACCAGAAACACGAAAATACGACACCAACGAACAAGCGAAGAAGATTGTGGCGAGATGGACCAACCTATGGTCTTAGCCTGTCGTAAAGACAAATCCAAAGAAAAAAAAAAAAATTTGGCTTCCCACGATAAATCCGTAAAAAATTGTCACACTCACGCACTGTACAACGCGACACTTCAAGACCAACAATTGAAATGGCCTTAACTCCATTTTGTAAGGCCATTTTCTCGAGAACCGAAACCTTCATTCGCAAAACCTAAACCACAATCTGGTAGAGGAGAATTTCCCCTACCTGTCTGTTTATTTAGTTTGCCTTTGCGGACTTCGGTTCCCGAGAAAATGGCCTTACAAGGTTTGTTTACAAAATGGAGCTAAGGCCATTTCAATTGTTGGTCGCATCTTTTTCACGCTTATCCACCAACCTCAATTCCTGGTAATCCACTAATTCTTTTTAATGCCCATTAGGCTAGTAACTGAGAATCTTCACTAATGCTGTTGAGCAGTTGACCACCAAAGCAATCTTACGATCTCACTTCTCTAGATCTTCACAGTCTTTTTACACAATCTTCGGAAGCTTCACTAATCCAGCAATCGAACATCAGCAAATTACCGATTTTTTTTTGTCTTGTGCTCTCTTCCTCATTCACTGTTCACGGCAATTTTCCAAGCAAAGTAACTCTCGGTTGAAGAGCGATATTACCTACCAGCAACCACCTAGACACTGGATGTTGGCCACATGCATCGCCAGCGACCAACTAATACGTGGAGTTGGCGTACGGTTATCACACATACCAACATATGCATTTCTATAACTTGAACATATGTATTCGTGCATAAATGTGGTTGGAGAGAATTGAGATTAATGTGTACATCGTTTTCAACTACACGGCAAGATAGAGCTGGAATTAGGGCGTAACAGCTTTTGTAAACAATGACTTCTTTCGATGATGTCTTGAAATTCAAGGCTCACCCACGCAAATCAACATCACCATTAGGTAGACTAAGACTTCCCCTACTCAACGGTAATGTTGGTTTGCGTGGGCGTACCTTGAATTCCTAGAAATCATCGAGAGAATTAATTGTTTACAAAAGCTGTTACGCCCTAATTCCAGCTCTATCTTGCCGTGTATTTTGAAAACGATGTACACATTAATCTCAAGAATAAAAATCAAGGCAAATGCTTCATGTATAGGTGAAAGCAAAACAGATCGTGAAATAAAAAAAGATTAAAAATCATTAAATCGTCTGCAAGCTCAGTTTCTAACCTTCACAGTGTAGTTCATATACAGAGAATGTGAGAAGATTGATCTTGCATTCATTGTAATGAATTTTAGTTTTGCGTGTACTACTACCAAAACACATCTAATCCCACCGCAATGTCAGCACTACAATAGGGTGCCACCGCATGTATCAGCGCAGCTAGTCCTTGCCCTACTGAAGTGCTGACAGATATCTTTCATTGAGAAAAAAAAATCATTTATTGGACAGAAAGGCGAGCCAAAGTACAGCGATATTTAGAATTAATTAATTCTGCACTTCAGTCAAAACCCCTGTCCAGCGGAATCTTGTCTTCGTCCGTCTTGAGTAACACTTTTCTGTGACTAATTGAATGCTTCACTCCGAGGCCAGTTCCCTAGCTAAAATGTATTTGTTTAGGACAAGTTTTCCAACTACGGCACCGCCCCTTACCATAACGCACCCCAATCATGTCTCATGGCACACCAACACGCCACAACAGGGGCCACAACCACATCCAAAATACCATCTCTAGTTCGAAAATAAAGCTGAATAGTTAAGTATGATACCAACGACAGTAAAGGTATTTTGACGTAGGACTACGTCTTTGATTTCTATATGGGGGTACACTTTGTGAAAACCGAAAATGGAACATGTAACAAATTAAGAAAGATTTTGAACGTTAATAACTCAGCTGCCCCTGGTATAATTTCAATAATTTTATCACCAATCGATCAGAAATATGGCTACGCATCGATAACAATGCTTTCGAATGTTGATTTTCAACAAGAAACTATTGAAAAACTGGTAAATGTCCAGCAGTGTCCAAAAGCGTCGAACTAACTAACAAATCCACCAATTACCTACATGCATATGCTGCTTCCCCAGCACAGTCGTCAGAGACTAGTAAGTAGACGAAACAAGTGGAAGTGGCTTCGCCTCCGATCCTCGAGCGCGTGCGAATAGGGAGGATGGAATTGCGTAATATTTTGCACACTCATCGCCATATTCAGAACCACACGAACGCGCAGTTAGCTACCTGTTATATAGACAATCAGCTCTGCCGGTACCATATTTTCTCACTTCTCATTGGTTACTGTGTATAGCCAATAGGAAGCGAGAAAATATGCCCCATTGGGCTGTCCCTTGTAGTTTTTTTTGTAATTTATTTTGATAATAATGAAATATTAATAGCAATGTTAGTTGTCACGCAATTGAAAAGTGCACCTTTTTTAGTAGTTTCCCTAAATTATTTGAATTATTTAGATTGTTCCTAGCTTTGTCCGTTTCAGAGTGAATTGCGGCAAAACCCGCCAGTATCACACCCAACGTTAGTGCCTATACATAAGCGTACTACGACGTGGCTTTTAAACAAAGGAGTAACAGGTGTGATACTATCACTTCAGGCTAGAACTTTGGTTCTCTCATACAATGGTTCATCAGAGAAAGGAAGCTCAGTAATCCTCATCGCATGCCTATGACGTATTCTGCCACAGGATAAGATTCCAACGTCCAGGTCACAAACTAGCCAAGGGGAGGGTATTGAGTGTTTGGTTGGTTTTAAGGATACTTTTGAAATCTCAATTTTAAATATACCGATATGGGGTTAAATTTGTCAACCCTATAAAGGACATTCGAGTTCCCTGAATCCAAATCAGATGCTACAATCCTTGATCGAAAGAGTATTTTTAACAGAAATTTCGAAAAAGATTTCTTAAAACGCACAGTTACACCTAAATGTAGGCAATTTCTTTAAAAATCACTGTAAATTTCACAGAGAATCATTGATTTCTCAAGATTGGAAACATTTTACTGTAATTTATTAAATAAATCAGAATCATTGGCACGTAAAATATCGCTTTCAAATTAATGACAACAATCGTTACAACCCTATGACGATTTGTTTGAATTCTGAAGTTAAATAAAAATTGTAATTTGTGCAGTTAAATCTACTTTTTTCTTATGAGAAACTTGTCAAAGATAGCATTGGACGCTAAAGATGAAATTCCATCAAGATTTCTCTTGATATCTATCACCACAAAATTTCAACAGAACAACTGAAAACGCATCCCATAATGATTAAAATCAACGCGGAGCTCAATTCCAGCCCCGGATTACGGTACGTCGATTTGAAAGGTGACACTTGATTTACCTTCTACCACAGCTTTGAAATGACTTCCCACTCAAATCTATAAACTACTCCGATGCAAACATGAAATTATGTTGTTATATGCATTCGTAAATTTATTGACGTTATCCGAAATCTGCATCAACACTTTCCTAACCATCCCCAACACGATACCAATTTTAATTGAAAATTAATTCCCCACACGATTGATCGTGATCGATTACCTGCCCATCATCGAGCTACTAGGCATAAACACAGAAAAGTGCTAAAATAGCAACATCAAAAAGGAGGATTTCCTTCACCTGAAATGCCCGGATCTCCTAAAAGTAATAGAAAAAAAGACACCCAACTAAAAACTTACACTCACTTCCTTCCACACCCAGCCCCACACGCCAGCCAGTTTCTTCGAATCCAACTTCGTGACACATGATTAACGGCTTGCAGATTGGAAAATTTATGGCCTCATATTGGAATTTAAAAATAGTTGAGCACGCGCTTAGCAAGTGTAGCTATATTGGGGGAATCAAACTCGCGTTCACACCGTTGTCGTTGCGGTTCGATTGGGCGGTGCTTGCTGATCCAAAATAGTCGCCCTTAATTGCACCCCTTAACAAGTTGATCGTATCACACTGCCATATGTCTGTTTAGGTTTTCCAATCGATGAATTAGGTTTTAATGGTGACATCTTTTAGAACAGTTAGTATTCATCTGGCAACACTGTTGCTTTTCAGAGAATAGTTGCATTTTCCCTTGGCATTCATTTATTTGAATATTTAAAAAAACGTATCGCTCGAGGCCTATTTGGAATGCACAACAACCTTACGGCGGACGCAACCAAGAAGATGATAAATTCTATTTCTGGGAGTCCATGACTTGCTTCTTACTCCTTGCTGCGAGTTTGAGAATACGTGACATTGAACTACATTGGAGTTCAAAATTGATGCGTCCCCTCTTTGACCAAGAGCGCGAACCTAGATTGTTTCTACAATCCCCTCTCTAGGCTAAAACTGGATCAGGAATGCAAGGTCGAACATTTTTGGATCGTATTTGCGTCATTTTCAGCACATCGTTAAACCGGTCTGAAGTGTCTAAACTTTCGCTTTCCCATGCAGGATCAGATGCAAATTTGCAATGTAAATATCCTTCGTTTAGATTACTGTTAATCGCTGTTTTTTTTCGTTAAATTTCCCTTCATTTCCAATTCGTTTGTGGGTTTTCCAGATCCAAACAGAAGTCTAGATTTTTTCTACCTCATCAATTTGACGCCAACCAGCGGCAGTTAAAGCAGTCAGAGTGGATGCATTAAACTGATGCACATTTCATTTAAATGTGAAGGAACGTATTTTAAATGTGAGAAAGCGTATCAAAACAGTTTGCAAGGGATAAGACAGAAGGAAAAAAAAATGAACGAGAGTCGATAGGAGCCGAACGGAGAACGTACTTACTCGATCAACAACGGCTTTGGCTGGGTGCGATATGCGTGAGCAAATGTAGCTACCTATAGAGCTCTTCTGCCAGCCTTGCGGCGTTTCGTTGGCCGGCTATGGACGAAGCGCACGTGCAGTTGTGATGGTTCACTGAAGCAGGTGGGCGTTCGGGTGGAAA